AGGGGGGGAAAGCATTCCAAGTAGAATGAACAGCAGGTGCAAAGGGCCTGTGGCCATAGGGAGCACAGCATAGGAGGAGGCATGTGGGAGAGAGTGAGTGACAGAAGGGTAGGTTGGGCCAAGATTTGAAAGACTTGAAGTGCCAAGTAGAGACGTTGCTCTATAGACTATGTGAGCTCCTGGAGGTCGGGGGTCATGTCTTCTGTAGCAGACCTAGACAAGTACCTGAAATGCAACAGATTCCCAAACACCTGATGCACTGACGCGGCACAGATGCTAATAGAAGCCACCGGAGACTTCTGGTCAGATCAGTGGTACGCTCTGGTCAGTGCTGGTAAGGAAAGAGTGTTGGCAGTGCTACCAGAGCAGGTGCCTGCTATTTGGCTGATGCCCTAGGACTTTCCAGACGAAAGGATAACAAATCACACTCTGAAGGTGGGACAAGAGGAAAATCTGTTTCCAAACTGATATGATGATAAGAATCAATTTAAAGTTGAATTTTTAAATGTAGCTTGCTTGGACCCATCCCAAACCCTGTACATCAGACCCGGAGTCGGGCAGAGGCAGCTGTATTAACAAACACTCCACCCGACTGTCATGCTCAAGGAAGTGGGAAATTATGGTAAAGAGAACATTCAGGGGACCAAGCTGGGAGGTATGGTCAGGAAGGTGGTGGGAGAGTGGGAAGTGAGTGCCGGAGCCTGTGAGAAGGGTTACCGATAAAGCAGTTCCTCTCTGAGCTAAGGAGTCCTATCAATAATGGAAACCAATGGAGGAAGGAAGTGAGCTCTTCGGGGGAAGTAGCAGGAGAATTGGAGAGTGCAGGTGTGAGAGACATTTCCATGGCACAACTGACAGTCCAGTGGGTGATTCCTGGGAGAAGTAAGAAAGGAGAGGTGGTAGGGATTGCTTTCCGCAGGGAGGGGTGATAGGGCAGGAAAGCATGCCATTTGACAAAGGACACCATGTACCTCCCTTAGCCGAACCTCTCCTATGGATGGAAACCCAGACCTCCAGGCTGGGAGAAGGTTAGTGGGGCTGGGAATATGGGGTGGGAGTCTCTGGAGCTGTTGGCAACAGGGAGAGGGGCACCAGGCATTAGACTTGTGGGGTCAGGCTGGGCTGGGTTCAACAACCTCAGTACTTGAGTTCTGGCTAGGAAAGAATTCAGAGCCAAGACTCAAGCTAAAAGAGAAAGTCTATTTAGAAAGCCGCAGAGGTAGATTGAGTGAGTGGTAGGAAAATGGGCTCAGGAAACAAGTTAGAGGCAAAAGGAGAGGCCATGTAGCTTAGGAGAGAGGAAGGTATTGCTAATATGCCTGGGCAGGGGTGGGGGCAGGGGAGGAAGGGGAAGGAGAGAGGGATGGGAAAGGGCTGGGTGTGCTCCTGGAGGGACAGCGCTGGGTCCTTCATCCTAATGGTTCCAGGGAGGGTATTTTAGGAACGGTCCCAGGGGAGCATCTCCATAGACTCCGTGTCAGCTTTCCAGGCGTGCCCTCTCAGGATCTCGGTCTCCACGGACTGGTCAGCACCAGGGCAGGAGTCCTGGGTCACTGAGCTGGCCCTGAGGTCAGGCTTGTCTGGTTGTGCTGCTTTTCCAGGCCCTGAGCTGAAACACAACTGAGGCCTAAATGCATTGATGTGGGTCAGAACCACATTGCCCTGGGGGCTTAATGCTTAAGGGCTATTCTTTGGCTCCCTTTTCATTCCCCCTCTAAGGGATGGGGGGTCTAACCCACATGATTAGCAACATGCGAGGGGAGGAAAGGTCACTTGGGGGTGAGGTCCTTGTTTTCCCAGTTTCACCCACTGCTAGGCACCAGGGGCTTTCCACCCTGGTGACCTTTGTACCTGGTCCATCGTCCTTGCTCTGCTCATGCCTCTCTAGCTGCCTCCAGAAGCATGGGGGTTTTCTTTGTATGAGGATGGAAGCTGATAAAGGGACCAAGGACAACATTTTGGGAAATCGGGCATGTTTAAGCAGCACCTAGAGAGAAGTCAGTTAAGGAGACTAAGCAGAGATGGAAAAGCTAGCAACTGCAACCTGGGCTATTCTAATAATTTAATACCTATACCCCCAGGCTAAGTGAACTGAAAAAATAAAAAGTATTTTCAGAAGCACCAATCAGAAAGGATATATGCACCCCTATGTTCATAGCAGCACAATTCACCATAGCTAAGATTTGGAAACAGCCTAAGTGCCCATCAGCAGATGAGTGGATTAAAAAACCGTGGTACATCTACACAATGGAATACTACCCTGCTATAAAAAAGAAGGAACGTTTAACATTTTCAATACCATGGATGGAAATGGAGAGCATTATGCTAAGCAAAATAAGCCAGTCGGAGAAAGATAAATATCACATTATCTCACTCATATGTGGGATATAATGATAAAAATAAACTGATGAACAAGAATAGATTGATCTAGAGACAAAAGGTAGGGGTGGGGGGGTTAGAAAGCAACCATAGGACTTGTATGCATGCATATTAGCATAACCAATGGACACAGACACTGGGGCGGTGGGGGCTTGCCCAGGCTGGGAAGGAATGGGGGAGGGGTTCAATTGGGGAAAAAGGAGACATGTGTAAAACTTTAGACAATAAAACATTTTTTTCGTTATGATAGGACAGATAAAATATATATTTGCCACCTATCTAGAGCATTCTAGTAAATTAGAATTTACTTAGAATTTACTTAGTAAATTGTAATGAACAGTAAAATTCAAGAAAACTTAACCACTGATTGATTGACCCACGAGCTAAAATAAACAAACAAAATCCAGGTAAGGAGGCTGAGGTAGCTAGATGATACCTTAACTTGCTTCCAGCTCTAATCTAAGGTGTTTCCAGAGATCAAAAATAGTGAGATGGATTTCTTAAATAGAGTTACTCAAGAGCAAACCCTGAAGTAATGATACCTATTTCCTAATGAATACTGGCTAGGGACAATCTAAGGTCATACAGCGGGCACTGGAATGCCCAAGGTCATAAAGGAGGCGCTGGCTACTTTTCCAGTCCCTGTCATGAGTAGTTTGATTCGTCATTGATGCACTCTGACTGGCGTCTGGTGTCACGTCACTGGGAATGGCATCCATCTGTACCTCACCTAGCCAGCCTCTCCTTCCTCTGTGCCTTTGAAGTGGCTCATCAAGCAGCCAACTCCTGCATCCCAAAGGTATCCTTCCCTCCTGCATCCCAAAGGTATCCACCGCTGCAGGGGCTGTGTGGCGAGTCTGGACTCTCTAAGGAGGGGCCTTTACGGTGCCCTATGCATTAGGGAGCCAGAGACTTTTTTTCTACCAAAATTTTTAAAAAGGCAAAATAAAAAGAAAAAGAAACCTTTACTTATAAAAAAGCCGAATGTCTTCCTTACAAAGGGCATTTACTTTAAACTATATAATCAAGTAACACTGGTGTAGGACGAGTCAGGAATCGCACAAGCCCTGTCATCTCCGTCTCTGACTCTTGCAAACATCTGTGCCAGGCGCTGTGCTAGTCCCAGTGACACTGACAGTGACAGACAACCCTAGGGAGACCTTCCGCGATCCTCAGGGCGGGAGCTGAGCATTCCCTTAAAGTAGGGGTGTCGAACTCAATCAGAGAAGGGGCCAAAATCTAAAATCCAGCCTAAATCGCGGGCCGAATGGTTTACTGAACAGTCATAAACTGTCATTGTGATGGAAACGCAGCGGAGTGCAGTGATGACAGCGCGGTGCGGGCCACATTGCAAGGCCTGGCGGGACGGATTTGGCCCGCGGGCCTTGTGTTCCTTAAAGACTGATGATTCCGGTCCTGGAAAAGGACGGGCACCTGCCCTCTTTGGGTAGACTTGGGGACAAACCGCAAACACTCCGACACCCTAAACACAGCAGCTGCGCCACTTCCGGCCCTGGCTCCGCCCCAGCTGCAGGCCCTGCCCCAGCTGCAGGCCCCGCCCCCGATCCTGGCTCCGCCCCACCTGCAGGCTCCGCCCCTGGGCTCCCCACGCTCCCAGCAGGCGCCGCGCCCGTGGCCCCGCCCCGCCCCAGCGGTGGGAGCGATGGCGGAGCTGGACGTCGGCCGGCACTGCCAGGTGGAGCACTGCCGGCAGCGAGGTGATGGCGGAGTCCGCCAGCTCTGCCCACGGACCGGGGCGGCGGGAGGGCGGCCTGGGCGGAGCGTCTCTGTGGGAGGCGGACGCGTGGCCTCCGTGGCATGGAACCCATGGGAACCCGGACACACCTGGGCGTGCACCTGGTTTCAGGGCGCTCGCCGCTCACTCCGGCCCTGGCACTGCTCCTCTTGCCCCACCTTCAGCGTAGCCCGCTGCTGCCGGCGGAGGCCGCGGGGAGTGAGTGCTAGCCTGGGTCCCTGGGCCCCTCCCGCGTTGTTACCGGCTTCCCCAGGGGGCTCTGCCCTCCGGCTGCCCCCGGGTGATGGTCTCCCAGCTCGGGCCCTTGTACTCCGACTGTCACCAGCCGCCACCACCTACAAGCAGCTGGTTAGCTAGGACCGCGTTCACTCTGGAACTAGCGGCCCTTCAGAGCATTAATAACAGTGGAGCCCTGTCCCCTGAGCCGAGGCCCGTGGCCGCACAGCCCGCAGCCGTGCAGGGGGTGGCCCGGCCTTCGCGAGTTCCTGACACGGACAGCGCACCGCACCGCACCGCAGGCTCCGTCCTGGTCCCTGGGTTTGGCATGTGCGCTGTCCCCTGTGGCCTGGGTCCCTGGTTTGGCATGTGCGCTGTCACACGTGGCCTGGGTTCCTGGTTTGGCATGTGCGCTGTCACACGTGGCCTGGGTCCCTGGTTTGGCATGTGCGCTGTCACACGTGGCCTGGGTCCCGGGTTTCGCATGTGCGCTGTCCCCTGTGACCTGGGTCCCGGGTTTCGCATGTGCGCTGTCCCCTGTGACCTGGGTCCCGGGTTTCGCATGTGCGCTGTCCCCTCTGGCCTGGGTCCCTGGTTTCGCATGCAGGAGGTGGAAATGGGTGTCCTCACGTTGCAGCTTCAGTCCCTGGTGGCAGGCACCAAGTCACTGTTGAGAGGACTCAGGCTCAGCCGGATCAGTGGGAGTGCCCGCTGATAGTGCACCTGCTGTGCCCCGGGCGAAGGACAGCGTCCCCGCTGGGCCCTGGTTGCTTCCAGGCTCTCCCTTCCACGGCGGGCCCAGCCCTCCCGCAGCCTCCTTGCACTCTTTCATGTGGAAGCTTAGCCGGAGGTTTTTCCTATGAGTTATGTGCCTGATAAGTCCGCCTCATCTACGCCTGTGAGATGCTCGGCTTCCTTGCCAACCTCAGGGGTCTTCTAAAGTGTAAGTGTCTGAAGTGAGGCCAAGGCCTCACTCTTGGACTGGTGGGCAGCAGTTAAAATTTGGAGTGTGAGTATTGAAATTTTTGTTAGCTTCCTGATGGATAGAAAGATGGTGTCAGGCACCAGGAAATTACCTTGATTTCACTCTCCCCCCTGAGTCCTCTTGGTTTGTATCTAATGTTTACATAGCCTAGAAGTCTCAAAATACCAAATGGATACTTTTTTTCCAATTTGAAAGAGACACCAGCAGTTTCTGTGTCTGTCTCACTGACAAATGCATACACACTTTCCTGTATGAGACGCTCATGGAGTCATGCAGCCAGAGCCGCAGGGACTGTTCCCTGATCCCGTTCTCAGGTGAAGGAAGAAATGTACTCTTGGCCCACAGCACAATTACCCAGGGTCTCTTTCGGTTATAAGATCCTTTCTTTCTGTTTCAAGTTAGATGACCTGCAGGAAGAGATCTTTGGGGGGAAATTGTAGCTCTCTCTAAAGGGCAGTATCTTTTTTTTTTTTTTTTTAATATATTTATTGATTTTTTTCAGAGAGGAAGCAAGAGAGATAGAGAGTTAGAAACATCGATGAGAGAGAATCATCAATCAGCTGCCTCTTGCACACCCCCTACTGGGGATGTGCCCAAAACCAAGGTACTTGCCCTTGACTGGAATCGAACCCGGGACCCCTCAGCCCGCAGGCCGATACTCTATCCACTGAGCCAAACCGGTTTCAGCAAGGGCAGTATCTTTTGTTTTCATGTTGTAAAAGTGGTGTGATTAGATATAACCAGTCTTATTTTGGTTGTAATTTAATATGAAGTGCATTGAAAACATTCTAAAGAGTAACTGATGGTATCCGTGGTTAATAGTTTTCATATCTGGGAATGGATACTTCCATGTGTTTTACAAAAATTCTGTTCCTAATGTAGTTATTTATGTAGTTAGTTAATACTAACTTAATTGTTCCTCAACAGTAAGGAAAAACACAATTCAGGATTAAATTTTGCAGTATTAATCCATCAATCTATTGAATTCCTGGACTTTATTTAAAAACATCTCCACCTAGTCACCACAATATTTTTCTCAGAGTCTATTCAAGACAAATTAAGTGTTGTAATTGTCTTATGAATTATATTGATAGTTGCTTTCTAACTATTCATACTTTTTATGTATCGATATATCATTTGGTCTTTATAATTACCCTGTGAAGTAGATATAGCATAAGGTATAGATATACATACACACTAGAGGCCCAGTGCATAAATTTGTACAAAGGGAGTGTTGTTCTTCAGCCCAGCCTGCACCCTCTCCAATCTGGGACCCCTCAAGGGATTTCTGACTGCCCAGTTAGTAAACTGGCAGTTGGACATCCCTCTCACAATCCAGGACTGCTGGTTCCCAACTGCTCACCTGCCTGTCTTCCTAATTGCCCCTAACTGCTTCTGCCTGCCAGCCTGATAACCCCTTAACCACTCCCCTGCCAGCCTGAATGCCCCTAGCTGCCCTCCCCTGCAGGCCTGGTCCCCCCTAACTGCCCTCCCCTGCAGGCCTGGTCACCTCTAACTGCCCTCCCTTGTAGGACTGGTCCCCCCAACTGCCCTTCCCTGCAGGCAGTCACCCCCAACTTCCCTCCTCTGCCAGCCTGCTCACTCCTAACTGCCCTCCCCTGCAGGCTTGATTGCCCCCACTACCCTCCCCTGCTGGCCATCTTGTGGTGGCCATCTTGTATCCACATGCGGGCAGCCATCTTGTGTGTTGGAGTGATGGTCAATTGCATATTATTCTTTTATTAGATAGGATACATATACATACAGACTTATATACATACCTAATAATAGCTCTGGTTGTGTGTGTAAATATTGGGTCGGCAACTAAGTAATTGCGGATTAAAAAAAAAAAGAATTTTTTCATGGAACTAAATAACTTTATTCTGTATGTATTGCCCATTTTGATCAATGACCTTTTGCCATCTTTCAGGCAGCATCATAATCCCACATTCAAAAAACTTCTGGTTTTTATTAGCAAAAAACTGATTCAGGTACGATTTGACATCATCATCATTATTGAAATTTTTACCATTCAAGGAGTTTTGTAAAGATCGAAACAAAAAGTAATCAGATGGTGCAAGGTCAGGACTATATGGTGGATGTGGCAAAACATCCCAACCAAGCTCCATTAATTTTTGCCGAGTGACCAAAGATGTGTGTGGCCTTGCATTGTCATGATAGAATACAACACCTTTTCGATTTGTCAATTCGGGCCGCTTTTCTTCAACTGCATTGTTTAATTTCGTTAGTTGTTCAATGTAGACATCAGAATTGATCGTTCGGTTGGGTGGTAAGAGTTCAAAGTAGACAATTCCTTTGTAATCACACCAAACTGATAACAAAACCTTCTTTTGATGAATATCAGCTTTTGATGTTGTTTGAGTTGGTTCACCTGGCCTGCTCCACGATCTTTTCCGCTTGATATTGTTGTAAACAACCCATTTTTCATCGCCAGTTATCAGTCGTTTTAAAAATGGATCATTTTCATTACGTTTCTTTAGCAAATCGCAGCTGCTAATGCGTTGCGTTAACTGTGATTCTTTCAGTTCGTGAGGAACCCATGTATCGAGTTTTTGAACATAGCCAAGTTGTTTTAAGTGATTTTCAATGCATGTATGTGATACATGAAGCTTCTCTGCAATCTCACGTGTTGTACTGTGACAGTCCGAATTGATTATTGCTTTGATTAGGGCGTCATCAACTTGAACTGGACGACCAGAGCGTTTTTCATCTTTGAGTAAAAAATCACCAGAACGAAATTTGGCAAACCAATTTTGACACTGCCGTTCTTTTAAGGCTTCGTCACCATAAACAGCACATAACTTTTTATGAGCTTGCGATGCATTTTTCCCTTTGCGGAAATAAAAAAGCAAAATATGACGAAAATGTTCCTTTTGATTTTCCATTTTTCAACGAACGCCAAACGAAAACTACAAAACAGATCAAAAAACTTTTTTTACTGATTAACAGCTGAATAGCCAACTATCAAATAACAAAATGTGTTTTACATTTGTACTACGTCTGCAAACCTAAAAATTCAACTGAAGCCATATATGTGTGAAACCCGCAATTACTTAGTTGCCGACCCAATATATTTATAAGATCTCCAAAGCTCTACTGTTAAGTAACTTGCTTAGTATTGCTAAATTAGTAAATAGTGGAATCAGAATTGAAATCAGGTTTTTCTCTTAAAATTCAGGAATTTTGCAAAATGCAGTCCTCAAAAGCAATACCTACTAAGTCTGGGAAACAAAAACAAACTGAAAAAACAGAACATTTTTTTGGATTTAACATGCTACTCTAAGTAACATTTGTTTCCTGATCATCTAGTAACATTCTCCAGAGGACATAAGGTTGTGATGGCGTTTGTTTACCTGCTAGATTAGGATATTGGCAAAAAGGAAAGTTCCCGGATGGAGGTGGTGCAGTACTTGCAGATTCTCTATGCTTCAGAAAACGAAATCAAAACCCAATACTGACCAGTACCTATAACACTGTCCTTCAATTTTAGATTTTCTTCCATTCGTATGTGATGGTTGTTCAGGAACATTTTGGTAAGTTATATTTTTGTACAGGATTTGAGAGTAACTTTGATGTTTGTAATATGAACAGCAGAATTATGTAAAATAGCTCTTACTTTAGCCATTGATATTAATGTTCATTATGGTAAAATGAACACTTGGAAAAAATAGACTAGTCATAGGCTCTGATTTCTTGTGCATATATTTAGCTAATCTTTATTTTTTATTTTATTTTTTTAAATATATTTTATTGATTTTGTACAGAGAGGAAGGGAGAGACATAGAAAGTTAGAAACATTGATGAGAGAGAGTCATCAATCAGCTGCCTCTTGCACATCCCCTACTGGGGATATGCCCGCAACCAAGGTACATGCCCTTGACCGGAATCAAACCCGGGACCTTTCAGTCCTCAAGCCAACGCTCTATCCATTGAGCCAAACTGGTTTCGGCATATTTAGCTAATCTTTAAACTTCTTAGATGGCATTATCTGTGTGATTTTTCTTTAAATATATTTTTATTGATTTCAGAGAGGAAGGGAGAGGGAGAGAGAGATAGAAATATCGATAATGAGAATAATTGATTGGTTGCCTCCTGCACCCCCCCCACTTCTACTCCCTCGGGGATTGAGCCTGAAACCCCAACATGCACCAGGACCGGAATCAAACTGGGACTTTCCGATTCATAGATCAACACTCAACCACTGAGCCACATTGGCTGGGCTGTTTGTGATTTAGTATGTAAAAGTTGTATTTGTGTCTTAATTACAAGGAAAGAACATATCCACAATATAAAAAATGTGGAAAATATCCAGTTAATGATTATACTCTTTATTTTAATTAATAAAATTAAAGTTATGCATATTTTAAAATTAGAACTAGAGCACATTTTTGATCTTTTATTATTGATGGTTTTTAAGAAATAAAAGGAATCAAAAGATTTTTTTTTACCAGTTCACACACCTGAAAGCACTCAGAGTGAAGGTAATTTAGAGTGGCGAACTGTTTTTTCTCATATGGAAGTTGAACAACTATGTTTTAAGCCTTTTGAGGCAATAGATGCTCTATCTTTGTCTGGTATTTCAGCTTATCCTTATTTGTAGAGTTCTTAATGTAGCATAAATGTAATCTTAAGGATGCTAACAACTGAAATATCTCAGATTATTGCAGTTATCCTTATATTATTTAATTGCATTTAAGTAAACACTATTTTTTTTTTTAATTATTTAAGCCTTGAGCACAGAAGCAAAGAGTCACACGGCTGTTCTGAGGTATGTTAATAGTTCTCTCTAATAACTCACATTTGTATTTATGTACTTTTCTTCCAATTTTTTAAAATGGATTTTTATTGATTTCAGAGGAGAAGAGAGAGAGAGAGAGAAACATTAATGATGAGAGAGAAGCATTGATTGGCTGCCTCCTGCACGTCCCCTACTGGGGATCTAGCCCTCAACCCTGGCCTGTGTCCTCACTGGGAAACTGAACTGTGATCTTCTGGTTCAAAGGTCAACACTCAACCACTGAGCCATACCAGCTGGGCTTTTTCCAATTTTGAAGAGGTTTCAAACCAGCCAGTGTACAGCAGATTAAAATTTGGCATACTAAGCTAATTATGCAAATTATTGTTTTTGCTTTATATTCTTTCTTCTCAGTTTTTTAAGAAGTTAATCTACTTGGTATTTATACTTTTTTAGTCTCATAATTCTTATTTCTTTACACTCCGGTTCTGTTTGGGTGGCCGCTTGCAGCTCTAGGCTCCCTGTTTGCCGATCCGAAACGGACTTGCCGCCCTCGTGCACCCCTGCCAGTGTCCTCCACTCGTTCCTTTGCGCTGGTGCCTGGTGGTAAAATCTGGTGACAGCATATTGTTCTGGCTCAGCCTTAGACCACCTGGAACAAACCTGTGGTCCCACCACGTCCAGTCTAATTCTGACCGCGTGGGGAGCTAAAAAGTGGCTGGTAGACAGAAACCAAAATGTCTGTGTTACTGCTAAAGGACAGGGAGAATGGTAAGGCTTGGTGAGGAGAGCCCAGTAGGTCTGCAGAGAACGCCAGGATTAGGCACACAGCCTCCTCCTGGACTCCCAAGTTCGGTTCCAAGAGGAAAAAGAGAGAGCTGAGCCCACTTTCTCACATGTGACAGTCAGACAAGTGCCCTACCTCCCTCCGGTCAGGAGAGGCGGGAAGTTAAAATGAATTCTCTCTGTTTGGAAGGAAGCGTCTGCCTCACACTTTGCAGGGGACATATTCCTGCTCAGTGTTTGCCAAGCACAGAGACTTTACCTCTGCTCTCTGTTATAGAAAATGAAGGTTAAATGGCTACAGTCACAGTCTGGCCCTGCGAAGTTTAGTGATTTATTTGAGGGAACTAAAAATTAACCAATTTATTGGTGTTACACAGAGTTAACTGGGAGAAAAATTCCATTTAAGTCACAGAAACATGCTGATGTTTTTTATGCAACTTGTAAATCTGCCCTGTGCTGTCCTTTTTCTTATGATACCATTTGATTTTCTTTTAATGTCTCTCAATTGGATCTCAATTAAATAGTGAAGAAAAATCATTTACCTTGAGACTGTGGGAACAAATTTGGAAAAATAGTTGACTCATTTCCAACAAGATGCAGCTATTGTTTATATGGAAGAGTGTCTTTGATTGTGGATTTCAAGCAATTATGTCTCTAAATTCTAGAAACGTAGTAGTTATTTAATACCCTTCCCCATTTTCAAAAGTTCACTTTAAGCCCCTTCACTTTTATGAAAGACCCACATTAGTATCTGTTTGTGCTAACCTAAGGAGATCCAAAAAGGGTTTCACTTTTACAGAAAAGGGGAGAAGTGAAAACAGCATTAGCGCTTGTTTTGCAGTGAGCCATTCGCTGCACAGGCAGCTCGCCCCGAGCTGTGAGAGCGGCGCTCCAAGCTCCTTCCCCGGCACCATGCTCAGCATCTCGGCGTTAGGGCTCCCAGCTTTCAATCGTGTCTGAGCATCTGGGAGACCCCCTTTGGGGTCTGGGAACAGTGAAGACATTTTCCATGTAATTAATGGTAATTGCGCCATTTCGGTGTATGTAGTTTTATAGGTAGGAATGCTCAGCTACTTTTGCATAGTGGGGGACACCTGTAGTCAGAATAGACTGGTGGATCTGGATTTTTCTTTCATCTTATAAAATCTCATCTTTTTCTGATGTAATGTTTGCTGGAAATAGAATATGAAACAAACCATTGTGAGCAGTATATCATTATGAAAACTGTCTTTAACCCTCTGTATCATGGATAAACATAATTTTTTAAATATAATTTATTGATTTTTACAGAGAGGAAGGGAAAGGGATAGAGAGTTAAACATTGATGAGAGAGAAACCCGGGACCTGGGCTTTCCTCTGGCTGCCAGCTGCCCCCTGCACACCTCCTATTGGGAATGTACCTGCAACCAAGGTACATGTCCTTCACCGGTATTAAACCTGGGATCTTTCAGTCTGCAGGCCAGTGCTTTATCCACGGAGCCAAACCGGTTAGGGCGATAAATGTAATTTTAAGTGCTCATTTATATATACTTAACTACTTAAAACTGGTGTAGAAAATAGTTAAACTTGCCATTGAGGACTGGTGTTGGGGTGACTCCCTGAGCATGTTAGTATGGGGCATCTTTGTGTTGGACCGTTACAAAGTAGAAGACTAAAATTATAAAGAGTAACTCAATAGTCACGTTAACTTGATTTAGAAGATAAATATACCACAGTAGGAAGATTATAAAAATGTATAACAGTCAACACAATAATCTTTTCTCACACAAAAATTTAATCTGTTTTGTGGGAGCATCTAAGTTGCTCTTATAAGTTAAAGTAGTAGTAATATAAATCCTGCCTTCCAAAATAGGTTTGTTGACTTATTGTCCATGTGAAATATGCCAATTTCTCCCTTTTCACATTTTCAGGTGTCTGTAGTCAAGGAGAGGCTGAAGTCAGATACATATGCATCTTACCCATGTGCGTTCAAGGGCTGTGCTGAGAAAGAGCTTGTACCAGTGACCTGTCCTCACTGTGAGAAGAACTTTTGCCTGAGGTGATCACTCAGATCATCCCACTCTGTGTATCGCTTTAATTTGTATGCAAGTACTTGAACTGGTGTCACTCTTCTGCTCACAGACACCGTCACCAGTCAGATCATGAATGTGAAAAACTGGAACTCCCTAAGCCGCGCATGGCTGCCACTCAGAAACTTGTTAGAGACATTATTGGCAAGTACCCAGGAAACTTGTTTCATTGCTTTCTGTATTGCTATCTACCTATTATTGTAGTTCCCAAGCTCCTGCTGCTTGTGTCTGCTTTTCAGTATGGAAGGCATTGCTAACGGCCCCTGTGGGCTGCAACTTGCAATCTATTTTGATGATATTCTTGCAACAGTATTCTCACAAGGCCGGATGTTTTCCTGCTCGGCCACTCAGATTAGCTGGTTAACCATCACAGCTAGAAATGGTTCCACAGGGCTAAAGTAGTAGTTTGTAGTCTCTAAAGACTAAACGTTAAGCCTAGTCTACTGTCCTAAGAATGCTATTACAATCTGAGGTAGCAGGAAAGAATCTCTCTATATAAAAAAGCATAATGTGCTAATTACACTGGACAACCTTCTGGATGAAGCGGGGTCTTCAAGGGAAGCCCAGGTCCCGGTGCCTGCTGGCAGCCAGAGAGAAGCCCAGGTCCCGGGTCCCCGGTGCTGGAGAGAAGCCTGGTTCCCAGGTGACAGAGGGAAGCTAGTGCTGGCAGTCAGGGGAAGGAAGATCTACTCTTGAGTGAATTTCATGCATCATGCCTCCAGTATATCTCTATACAGTAAACCAGTCTCTGCTAACATGTTAGTTCAGCAGAATTTTCATTCTTTGTTAAGGACACTACCTTTAATAAAATCTTCTATAACCAAAACTTAAAGTTCTCTGTAGAAATGTTAGTGATTAAATCAGCTTAAGTTGAAAAGCAGCACCATGCTAAGGGTTTTGATGTGGAGATTGTCAATATTTTAAATATAATAAAACGTACGCATTACGTTGTCTCTATGGAGCTTCATTGTATGTAGTTTATGTTTGTTTCAGAGCCATAAAAAATTAATTGTGGAGGATAGGCCAAGACCCACCCCTGTGCTCACTGCAGCCTTGCAACCCACAGTTCCTTTCAAGGTGCAGGAATTCATGCACTGGGCCCCTAATAGTCAATAAAAGTCTAGAAAATATAATGTAAAAATTATGTGTTTATAAGTTTATTTTTATTTCTTAGATTCCAAGACAGGAGAGACAGTGAATAAGCGACGTAAGGGTGCAAAAAATAGTGCAACAGCTGCCAAGGTAGCACTGATGAAGTTAAAGATGCATGCTGCCGGGGAGAAGTCACTGCCCCAGGTGGGTCTTGGAGACTTTGAAAAACAAGATGTTTACAAACGGTTAAAGCCCCTCTCTGCTCCTCCCTCCCATCTCATAACAACTAACCTGAACCTGATGTGTGTATTTCCTAGTGTTACAAGTGTGTAGCTACATAAAAAATGGTACATCATTTTGTGAGATTTTCACTTTATAGAAATGGCAGGGAGCCATACGTATCCTTCTTCAGCTCTTTTTTCTTTTTCACTTGGCATCATGTTTTTAGCATTTATCCACATTGACACATTTAGTCTAGTTTGTTCATTGTGATAACTGCATATCCCATAGTATGAACATACAACATTTATTCATTCTTGTGATGAACAATATTCAGAATTTTTCCAAGTTTTTTTGTTACCAGTATTATATATTGTTCAACAGTGAATGTCCTTGTGTGTATATAAATAACATCTCACTAGGACAGTTTCTTTAAAAAGCCGTAATATAATTTGCATTTTATACAGCAACCCAGTACATAAATACATACATACATACCTTAACACAGTTTTACCTAACCTTACACTGGTGTTTTCTATTTTGTTTTAAAGAATACTGATTTTATAACCCCTGAAGGATTGAGACCCTCAGATTGAAACATGCTCCCTAGGGAAGATATGGAGAAATGGAACATCTGGGTCCTGGGCTTGGCTTATCCTCAGGTTTCCTGGATACTGTCAACTTAGTGCTCAGTGGCTGTGCTAATTTTTCTTCTTCCCATCTGAGGGTTTCAGTGTTTATTGCCAACACTGGGTGTTATTCATTGTTACCAATCTGATAGATATGAAGTTATTGATATGTCTCACTGAGGTTTAAAGGTAAATTTCCCTTTTAACAATTAAAGTGCAGGTATTTTGCATGAGTTTGTTGGCTATTGACTTTCCTCTGTGAATTATTTGTTCATATCCTTTGCCTATATTTTCTGTTGGGTAGTTGCACATTTTTTTTTTTACTCTAGAGGTTCTGAATTTTTTACTACATGTTTTGCACATTTCCTCTCTCAATTTGTGGTTTGTCTTCTCTTTGTTTTTTATCTCTTGAGTGGTCCATACTTTTAAAATTTAAATGTTCAGCCAAAACCGGTTTGGCTCAGTGGTAGAGCGTCGGTCTGCAGACTGAAAGGTCCCGGGTTCGATTCCGGTCAAGGGCATGTACCTTGGTTGCGGGCACATCCCCGGTAGGGGGTGTGCAAGAGGCAGCTGGTCGATGTTTCTCTCTCATCAACATTTCTAGCTCTCTATCTCTCTCCCTTCCTCTCTGTAAAAAATCAATAAAAAAAAATATATATATATTTTTAAAATTTAAATGTTCAAATTTATTAGTGATTTCAAAATAAATTAAGATATTTTCTTACATTTTCCTTTAAAAGCTTTATTTGCTTATTTTGTGTAGCTCTTTATTCCATTTAATTGTAAGTAGAAATAAAGATTTACACACACACATACCTGAACTGGTTACCTATGACCATAAATTAAGGTACTGAGAGTTCACCCTTGTATTTATACCTCAGTCTCCTACCATATAGTACACGTGGGACTAGTTGGGAATGTCTGTTCATCTTTGCATCAATGTCAAAGTGGCTTATTATCATAGCTGTGTAAGAAGCAGGACACATTTCTCCAACTTACTTTTTGCTTTCCACTGTGTCTATTCTTGGCTCTTTATTCTTTTGTAAAAATTGTAGGATCACTTTGTCCTGTTCTATGAAATTGTGATTGATAGGAATTATACTGAATTTTCTATTAGAACAATTTACCTCTTTAGAATTGTGACTCTTCTCATCCTATCCATGTTTGTAGTCTATTGTTCCAATTTTTCTTTAGGTCTTCTTTTCTGTCTTTAAATAACATCTGTAATGCTTACCATCCATATCTATATGTTTTTTCTTAATTATATTCTTAGGTTCTTCATAATTTTTGTTGCCATGTTAATAATAACTTTTTAAAAACTTAATGCTCCCTTAATTGGTTATGCTGGTTGTTGTTTGTTATTCTCTCCTGCAAAGAAACCTCTCGTTGTTCCCATAGTTTATAGGCTTTCTGGGATGTTTCCATGCAGTTATATTTTCTGCAAATGACAGTTTTGTGTTTTGATGTTTTCTTTTTCTCAAATTTTCTTTCCTCTTACTCCTGCTTTTCATCATTATTTGTCTTAATGCATGGGTTGAACTCTATGAACAGGACTGAATAATATAGGCATCTTCATCACAGTTCTGACTTTAATCCAAATGAGCCTGAAGTTTCAACATTAAATATTATCTTTATTGTAGGTTATTTTCAACCTATTTGTTTGGGTGTGTTTTTCAGGTAACTTTAATTTGATGTAGTTGCAAACACAAAATAGTAGCAAGAATAGTACAAATAATTTTTCTATATTTTTTACCCAAAGGTACCAGTTAATTACATTTTGCCTTTACTTGCTTTATCATTTGCAGTCTCTCTCTTTGTACATATGTCTACACATGTGCACCTGTTTTTGTATGTGTGTGCATACTAATTTTTTGTTTGCTTATCTATCAGTTTCTGAGGCAGGTATGTTAAAATCTGGAGCTGTGGTTTTGTCAGGTTTTTCTTGTAATTCTAATGGTTTTGCTGAGTTGTATCTTACCAGGTGTGTGGAATTCTCCATTGTTATATCTTCTTTATTAATTTTGCTTTTGATGCTATTTTGAATTATAATTTTATAATACTAGGGCCCAGTGCACGAATTCTTGCACCTTGAAAGGAACTGTGGGCTGCCAGGCTGCAATGGGCATAGGGGCAGGTCTTGGCTCATTCTCCACGCCGCCCCCCCCTCCTGCCAAGTCCCTCCCACCATGCCTTCCCCCGCCCCCCGTCAGGTCACCTATCTGCTGGAAGCCCCACTCCCATGCGCTGAGGGTGCCTGCCCCCGATGACAGCATGGAGCAATTGAGGCCAGTGCTGTCAGTGGGTATGAGCAGTGGCTGCTGCCCCGATCGCCCCTCAGGAGCAGGGGGAGGTGGAGAAGTCCTCAGGGGCAATTAGGGCTGGCAGCCACCACTCACACCCACTGACAGTGCCAAGTGATTGGGACCTGCGCTGGGCACTGGCAGCGGGTACGAGTGGCAGCTCTGGTGCTAGTTACAGGTGTGAGAGGGGCTGGTGCTGGCATCAGGTATGAGCAGGACTGGCAGTGGCAGCAGGTGTGAGCTTGGCAGGATTGAGGTACATGGAAGCAAAGAATTTTCAGTAACCACTAGAAGCTTGCCCCAATGTCAGCGACTGGTGCCCCCCCTTGGTCTGGTGCCCCCACTTACCTGCTCACCATCCTGCTGCGGCCAATGCCCAGCATGTTCTACACTTTCCCATCTGCTGCTGATGCCAGCCAGGTTCTGCATGTGCCCCCTGGTGGTCAGTGCACATCATAGTGACCCGTTGTTCAGTTGTTCCACCATTCTGTTTAGTTGCATATTAGGGTTTTATATATATAGATTGTTTCACTAGTTTTCTTTTGGTTAAGATTTAATTATTGCATCTTTTTTTTATCATGTTATGTTCACCTTTTCTATGTTGTTTTGTTTTAGGGTGTCTCTTATAAGCAGCATATTGCTGGACTTTGTTTTTCTAATCCAGTTTGCTAGTATTCCTCTTTTATAGGTGAGTTGGATACATTTATATATATTGTGATCACTGATACATTTGAATTTTATCTTCCATCTGATGATTTTTGCTCATCATCCTTATTTCTCTTTCCTGTCTTTTTTTATATTGATTGAATTTTCTATGTTTTCTTCTATTCTACTTTTTTAGAAACCATTGATTGTATTTTTCTTTTAGTGATTATCCTTACTATTTTCCTTTTCAAAAATCTTTCTTTAATGTTTTAAATTTGCAAAAGTAGTACACACTTTTAGCAAGTGTAACTATTAAGAGATGTGTAAAGGAAAAAGCAAACTTCCCCTTTAGGATTCATACTGGATTTGCATTACATGTTATTTATCAGTTTTGAGAGAAATAATGTTTTTATTATGTGGCCTTCCTATCCAGGAGCCTCCTGTGTCCTTCCAGTTATTCAGACCACATTTCTTGTCTTGCATAACATGCTTGTCTTCATTTAAGTCTCTTTCCTTATTTCTTTTTATTTCCAATTATTTTTGGGTTTTATTTCTGTTGTGAACAGAATATTTATGTCCACCTCTATTTTCAGATACTTACTGCTAATATAGAGAAAAGAGTCTTGATTTCTGTATATTCATCTGATTCAGCCACATCATCAAACTCTTAGGATTAATTTTAGAAGTTGCTTTTTCACCATTAGTGCCTTTGATTTCCTAGATATGCAGTCATACCACATTAGCAGGATAGCTTTTATTTTATAATAAGTATATTAGTTATTTCATTTTCTTCTACATTATCTAGAATCCCCAATATAAGGCATTATAGTAATGGTGATAACAGGCATGTGTTTATATATATTTTTTATGTATAAAATGAAAAACCAATTTTCCTCTTTAAAGTTACATCCTCTCAAATAGCACAGGAAGCTTGACATGCCTGTCCACTCGAATGTCTCCCACCCATCATCTTTGTTCATACATGAAGACTATTGTCACCAATATCTATGTAAATCTACACATTTTTTCAGTTTCTTCTTTCCTTAGGACTTACATTTATTTTTCTGAGTTCCATTCTTTGGTGATTCACTTAGAGACTTTGCAGGTAAACTCTTTTAGTCTTTCTTGTCTGAGAGTGCCCTATTTTACCTCCACTCGAGCTGCTTGTCTATCAGACTCTCACTTCCTTGGAGCTGCGTACAGGGGCCTCTGTGATCTGTTATAGGGGAAATATTTGCTGTCTCTTTATTTTTCAATCCTATATGGTTAAATGTCTTTTTTTAGTGGCTTTTAAGACTTTACCTGCGGTATTTTTCAATTTCAGTGCAATGTTTCTGGGCATGGATTTATTTTAATTGCCTAGCCTGGCCCTTGAGATACATTTAAAATTTTAACTTATGTCTTCATTTTAGAAAATTATCTCATTTTTCTCTGACTATTGCTGCTCCATCATTTCTTCTCTTCTGAAACTCTTGTTAGCTTCAGACATATTTGGGGACATAGTTTCTATCTTGCCGTCTCCTTGTGCTACATTCTAGATGAGTTCCTCAACTTCATTAAGTAAGCCTTTTTAAAAATATATATATATATTTTATTTACTTTTTACAGAGAGGAAGGCAGAGGGATAGAGAGTTAGAAACATCGATGAGAGAGAAACATTGATCAACTGCCTCCTGCACACTCCCTATCGGGGATGTGCCCACAATCAAGATATATGGCCTTGACCGAAACCAAACCTGGGACCTTTCAGTCTACAGGCCAATACTCTGTCCACTTAGCCAAACTGGTTAGGTCATCAAGTAAGCCTTCTTATGGAAGATTAGAGAAATTTATCCTGTTTAATCTTTTAATTTCAGAAACTGTGTTTTTTTATGTTTATATTTATTAGCTATTTATAGCTTTTATTTCTGCCTGTTTTTGGCTTCATAACTTCTTGCTCCTTTTTTATGGATATTATCCCTTAACTCAGTGGTTCTCAACCTTTCTAATGCTGCGAACCTTTAATACAGTTCCTCATGTTGTGGTGACCCCCAGCCATAAAATTATTTTCATTGCTACTTCATAACTGTAATTTTGCTACTGTTATGAGTTGTAATGTAGATGTCTGTGTTTTCCAATGGTTAGGCGGCCCTGCTAGCTGTTCTCAACTAGCAATTCCCACAGGTTGAGAACTGCTGTTGTAGAGCCTTGACTTGTCTCATTGTTAAATGTCTTTTTCACACTTAGTTATTTCCGTCCTGGGTTTGCTCTGACATTTCAGTTTACAGATTGTGCCTATTGGTCTTGAATAGGCACTCTCTTCTGGTCTCTCTCTGCCCACTCACCTTTCTGCATTTCTGTTCCCTTTGTGATCTTCAAGCATATTTATCTTTTTGTAGGCGAGGCTATATCCTTTAATATTTTCTTCTCATGTTTATACTCTTATTACTTTGATTTTATAGAGTTGGCCCAGAGTTTAAACTTCCAATGATTTCTTATCTTTTCTTTTAATCTCGTTATCTGTAATAACACACTCCACTGGTCTTCAACAAATCTAAACTCTTTGGTGCTGGAAATGGTCTTGAATCGAATGATTCCTAAAATAATTGTAATCTTTCCTCTCTGATTTAGAGATGCTCCTCTTATCCCAATAATTTCATTGTGACAGGAATTGGTCTGTAAAGCCAACTCTTTTTAAAGCAATTTTCAGGAATCAAGGAACACCTTTGCTTTTACTCTTTTCCCCCCTCTGCATTTATTAACTTAGCATGACAATACAACATGAGGAAGCATATAGTGTATAGCATACTGGAGGGACCATCCAAATCTTCTATGAAACTTGTCTTTTGTTTCTTTCTTTTTTTTTCTAGCTTCTTTATTCTCAAAAGCCCTGCTATCTCTAAACACGTTGTCCTTCATGTAGGAAGATGTGTTTTATGTCTTAGGGATCTTTCATTTGCAAATGAAGAAACTTGATACCAACTAGCTTAATGAAAACTTTGCCCCTCGTGTGATGGGAGCGGCGTTGATCTGGTCACCAGGATGACTGAGCTCCACGACAGATGCGGGAGAAAGAGCCCATTGTGTCCTTGACTTCCCTCTGTGTTGGGCCCATTCTTTCCCATCCCCAGGACTTTTTCATGTTGGCTCAGGAATGGTGGAGGGGCCTGGATGATAGATGTGAGCGATTCCAGGTTTAATCCAATACGCCTTACGATCTCAGGAGACAGAGAGCTGCCCTTCCCACCCCGGCCTTTGAGTGTAAAACCCAGGGAAGACCTCCGTTGGCTTTCCCAGGTCACATAACCTGTTTTTGCACAGGTCACCCTGGCCAGGTCTTGAGTCCTCTACCTATGCATTCAGGTGGCTGCTGGGCAACTCTGGCTGGTACTCCCACCACCAGTTTTACCATCAATGGGCAGTTCCTCGCTGACCAGGAGAAGAGAGGAAGTGACAAAAACAGCTGTCTAGTTCATGTAGGTAATCTACTGTAACTGTTTTCTTCCTACAGACGGAAAGAGTCTACTTGCAGGTGTTCTTACCCAAGGGGAGCAAAGAGAAGAGCAAACCCATGTTCTTCTGTCACCGATGGAGCGTGGGGAAGGTCATCGACTTTGCAGCTTCTTTAGCCAGTCTCAGAAACGACAATAACAAGTCCACGGCCAAGGTGCCAGCTGGTGGTAACTGCTCTGCCATAGGGGTTTAGGCTATGCTACACACACGTTTGTTGGTTACGCTACAGTGTGCCTCCCTTCTCTCTTAACAGAAGCTAAGGCTCTGTCACATGACTTCTGGGGAAGCGTTGCCCTTGGACCACACGCTGGAAGCCTGGATGGCCAGGGAGGACTGTCCTCTGTACAACGGCGGGAACGTCGTCCTGGAATATCTTAGTGAGGAAGAACAGTTCTTAGAGGATGTGGACGCTTACTTGGAATAGTCATTCAAGGATCCAATCCAGCAATCATGAGGAAAATTCTCTGTGAAGTCAGTTTCTTTTACTACAAATACTATAACTATTTTTTTTAAGTTGCTCTTACATTGTTTTTCATTATGTCATAATGCCCATTATCAGTTTTCTACAACTGAATTTAAATTTTTTGTTTTAAAGTTTAACTGTGAACTGACAGTTATTGGCACGTTACCACATTTAATTCGCTTTTATTAGGTGTGTAGCTCGTGGGGCTGTGCACTGTGGTTTGACTGAGACTGCTCCGTGTCACCTGACTCCGGAGCCGCACTGAGCGTTTAGACGTGGATCCTTTTGGGACCTTGGCGTTCTGAGGAGAGGAGGAAAGGTGCTCTAAGGACACCTGCATCTCCTCTTCCTGAGCAGGTGACAGGCAAGCGCAGCACTGTGGTGCCTGGGTGGGGCTGTTCCGTGTGCCTGCATCACAGCGTGGGCATTGGTGTGTGAACGTGAATCAGGAACCGAGGGCTTGTCTCATCCACTCTGCCGAGATTTTGGATGAGGAATCTCAGGCCTGGGGAGGAGAAGTGGTTTTCCTGCTATCACCTACCTGCTGTGGGGCATGGCTCTCCTCCTGGAAGTCACCGTCTGTGTGTGGGGTGGGGAATGGACTCAAACGAGAAGAAAGATGGGGAGCTCAACTCGATTGCAGTCTCTTATACCCACCAAAGCAAAGTACATGCCAAGAGTGACTATATTGTCCCTCACCAAAGGACAACTATATAGAGGGGACAGAAATTATTTCTGTTTGTTCATTGTCATGGACTTGCAGAGTGGCTTTAGGTTTAATTAAAGGAATAAATTCAGAATGTTCGTTTCATCTCTAATTTTTCATCATAATTTTCATGCAAAGAATGGAGATAACTTCTGAATTTCATCAGCTGCTGATACACTCATTTATTAGTGTGATTATTTGAGTACCTACTAAGAATAAGGATTTGATTCTGGTTTCCATGGTAACTACCGTGCAAAGCAGTGTGACAAGTACCAAATGAACAGATGGGTAGTAAGTATAGCTGTGTTCCAACAGCTCTTTTTCACAAACTGTACAAGCAGAAGTAGAAATAATCCTTAAATCTATTCCCAGATACCAGAAGTTTTCATACCAGAAGTTTTCATACACACGAATACCTTAGCATGTGCCATAATTACATGTGCCAGGGGATCAACACAGGTCTCATGATTCGGCTAAGGCTGAACATGGGAGAGAAGGTCCCAGTGGGGCTGAGCGGAGTGGAAGGAAGAGGCAGGAACTGAGTCCCGTGGAGGCGAAGGCGGAGCCGGCCTGGCAGTGATCAGGCGGGAAGGAGAGCCAGGGCTGGTGTCAGTGGGCGTCTGCGTCCGTGGCGAGGGAGGTCAGATTCCAGGTAGTGGCGGCTGTCTGGAAGGCCCAGGCACCAGCCTGCTCTGAGGCTCCCGGGACGGCTGCAGCATGAGCCGTCTCCTGAAGATTCAGCCTGTGGGCGAGAGAAAAGCCCGAGCTCCGCACTGCCCAGTGACTGACAGGACAGCTTTCGAGGACGTAGTTCTAGGCTCTCCATTGAGTATGCGCAATGAAATTTTAAGTTTTGCCTGTTCCCACCAGATCCAAGTACCTTTCCAACTAGATAGTCTTGCAGATGACTAGAATTATAAGTAGGAAACCCACACACAGCTTTAAATTCAGATACTGTGGCTATAACAACAGAATGTTACAAATGAGCTCCAGTTGAAATGTGATTATCCAGGAAAGGCGTGTGGCGGATAGATCATTAAACTTTTCTAGATGTGCCCGTTTTATTCCCTACAGATCTCCAGTAAGGGCTGGACCAGAGGGCCTGGTGAAGGGAAAGGGTGCAGATAGCAATCAGGAAGACAAAATGGCCCTGCCTCACACCAGGCTGTGATCTGGGCAGCAAAAGTTGGGAGCTAAAATACTTGCTCACATGCTGTACAGATGGCTTTGGTTTAGTGAAGTTTCTGTTTGCTTTTTGTCTTTTTAAACTAGGGACTTTCTCTGGGATTTCAACTGAGATACCAGACACATTAGTTCTGTTCTCCATTTTCAGCATCAGCCAATGTCTTGATGTGGTACATGGAAATACAACTTAAGAACTACAAATTCTATTGCATTTTTTAAAAGTTTAAAATTTTATTTTTTTAATTACAGTAAACATTCAGTATTATATTAGTTGTAAGTGTAAAGTCTACTGCATTTGAAAGACTGCGTAATCTACATAGGATAAGTAGAATTTTTAAAAACTTAAAAAGTGTCCAGTAAAATTGCCTTAACAATTTTTGAGGAACAAATGTTATAGTGTAAAAATACTCCAAACTGTCCTTCTTGCATAGAACACAGATTCTGCCTTGATTACAAGAAGGATCTGCTGAAGTAGGAATATATTCAGAGACTACCAGGTCTGTAGTTAATACAGGGTGTCCAACAAAATGTATATGCACTTTGAATGATTATAAAGGCAGTGTTTATTAAAAACAGTTATTTTTCAAAATTTAAAAGCATCTACAGAAATGCCTGGCTAGTGTGGCTCAGTGGTTGAGTGTTGACCCAGGAACCAAAAGGTCACGGTTCCATTCCCAGTCAGGGCATATACCTGGGTTGCGGGCTCAATCCCTAATGGGCGTGCAGGAGGCAGCTGATCGATGATGTTTCTCTCTCATCGATGTTTCTTTTTGTTGTTGTTAATATCACCAGAGGATATTTTTCTATTAATTTTTAGAATGGAAGGCAGAAGGAGAGAGAAACATCAATGTGAGAGAGGCACATCCTCCGCATGCTCCCTAACCAGGGCCCGGGAGCTGGCCTGCAACTGAGGTTCATGCTCTTGACTGGATTTGAACCCATGACCCTTCAGTCATAGGGCTGAGGCTCTATCCACAGAGCCAAACCGGCTGGGGCTCTCATCATTGTTTCTATCTCTCTGTCCCTCTTCTTCTCTCTCTCAAAATCAATACAAAAATATTTAAAAGAATCTACAGAAATGAATAAACTTTTTTGTCAGTGTCTGTTTTCAAACTGACCACCGTTCTGGGCCAGGCACTGATGATGACTGGAAGCAATGGAATCACAAACATCAAGAATCATTTCGTTCGATATCTGTGTGCCTTCAATTCATCAACTGTTGCCGGTTTTTTATCTTGAACTTTATCTTTTATGTATCCCATAAAAAGAAGTCTAGTGGCACTTAAGGATAAATTTTCTTTGTTCAAAGCTTAGCCTGGCTTCACCCATTATTCCAAATCAGTTAAACCTGAAAGGAAATGAAAACTAAGTGAGTTATCAGTTGTTAAAAGTATATATTCGTTTTTTGGGGACACCCTATAGTAAGTAGACAGTCACAGTGATTTTTGTTCTTTTCTTTCCTTTTTTTCTGCTTAGTATCTGAACCCCCTCTTGTTTGGGAATCCATCATTACGGGAGTATTGGGGTGTAAGTCCTCACCAGAAAACCCCAATACTTTTCCTTATTTCCGGCAGGCAAGGCACCGGCATCTGACCTCAGTTGGCCAGCAGGATGACATACCCTGAGCTGTGACTGTGGGTGTTACAGAATGGGTGCCCGTGGCCTCCCAGTGCCCCAGGGTGTCAGGCTCCAGGTGTCCAGCGGCAGGTGCCTTTGGCCATACATCTGGCCTCCCACTTTCCCTCGGTTCCCAAACTCCCTGGTTACCATCCAGGAAATTGTTTTTCTACTTAAGGATCCCAAAACCAGTTTCAGATTTTGCCTAACTGACGCATTCTCTCTAGAGTTGTAGGAAATCTATTAGCTGCCTCGGGATATGGCAAGGCTAGTTTCTGGGCTCTGTGGTGTCCGAGTCTTGCTCAGGAGCCCTGGGAGCGTGCCACTGTGGGGAGGGCGGAGCTGGTGACTGGCTGGATTGCTCTGCTCCACCCTGCTCCAGGCCCAGAGCCCAGCAATGCGGCCGATAAATACTCATTTGACGTGACTCACCCACCTGCAGGCCTCTCAATACCTATTTTATATTTTTGCATCATGACTGTTTCTAGTGTAGAGTTTCCTTAGGAAGAAAGAAAACTAAAACGTGTAAGTTTTTAAATGCAGGTGAAGAGGAGGCTGTTTTCTCCTTAGCAGAAAGGAGGAGATGAGGAAGAGATTGGGTTTCTGCTGTGAGCTGCTGACGCTGCAGAGTGCCGGGCTTGTGCATTTTCATAACTACAGGTTGGGCGGGTTGTGTCACTCACGAGGTAGCGAGGTGTTGTTTGAGAGTCCGGGCCCTCCTCCTGGACTTTGATCCGGCAAAACAGCTCCTGCCTCAGCCTCAGCCCGGCATTGGGGCGCCTCTCCCAGGAATGCTCTCCAGTGGCCTTTGATGCGTTCGCATATCTGATTGATTTAAGCTTTCAAAATGATTAGAAGCCTTTTTATTGTCTTGCTTTTTGTGACGCTGGGAGAAGCAAGGAAGCCATTTCTCAGTTTTCAGAGCACAGAGAGGACGGAACTACTGTTCTTCACAAAGACCGAAGATACCATCCTCCTCCGATCCACTTACCGAGACAAGCAGCCCCACGCCAGCTTCCTCTCTGTGCGGCCCCAGGACCCGGGCGTGCTGCGGGTGGTGAACGTGACCAGGGCCAGCGCGGGGGCCACAAACTTCATCATAAAGCTAGTGGCAGAGGAAGAAGGAGAGACGAACTTGACCATTCAGCTGTGGGACTCTGACGGTAGGCAAGAAAGACTCGTTGAGGAAATAAAGAACGTGAGAGTCACAGTGCTCCAACAGAGGCCAGGCGGTGTCTTCCAGGCGCCGATGCGCACGGATAGGAATGTCCTCCTGCTCCTTCTGCCCCTGGTCCTGTTAAATAAGTGCGCGTTTGGCTGCAAGATTGAGCTGCAGGTGTTCCGCGTGGTGTGGAAGAGGCCTCTGCCAGTGATTTTGGCGGCAGCTACCCAGTTTTTTCTGATGCCATTTTGTGGGTATCTTTTGACTCAGGTTTTGGCCTTGCCGGAGGCACTGGCTTTTGGGTTTGTCATGACCTGCACGTGCCCAGGAGGGGGCGGGGGCTATCTCTTTGCTCTGCTTCTGGAAGGAGATATCACGTTGGCCATTTTGATGACCTGCACATCAACCGTCTTGGCCCTGGTGATGATGCCTGCCAATTCCTACCTGTACAGCAGGGTCTTAGGGCTGTCCGGCACATTCCACGTCCCTGTTTCCAAAATTATGTCAACGCTCCTCTTCATACTTGTGCCTATATCGGCTGGGATAGTCATCAAGCATAGAATACCTGAAAAAGCCAGCCTCCTGGAGAGAAGCATTAGACCTCTGAGCTTTATTTTGATGTGTGCAGGGATTTACTTGATGT